GAGGAGGAGGAGGAGGAGGAAGAAGAAGAAGAAGAAGAAGAAGAAGAAGAAGAAGAAGAAGAAGAAGAAGAAGAAGAAGAAGAAGAAACAGCAGCAGCACAAGTGGCCAATAAATATGTGAAGAAATGTTCGACATTTCTGGCCCTTATGGAAAAGTCTATTAAAAAAGTGAGATTCCATCTCACATTAGAAAGAATCACTGTTATCAAGAAGTCAAATAATAATAAATGCAGGCAAGGCTGTGGGGACAAAGGAACCCTGCTCCACTGTTGCTGGGAATGTAATTCAGGAAGACCACTGTGGAAATCAGCATGGAGATTGCTCACAAACTAAAACTAGAAATTCCTCCGACATAGCTTCTCCTCTGCTAGGCGTCTTCCAGAAAGAGTTACAGACATCACATCACAGTGACGCATGCACGCTTGTGCTCACAGCAGCACGGTCCACAGTGGAGTACTGCTGTAGTAAACAGAGGGGCAAACTTGGATCATTTGTAGGAAAATGGAAGCACCTGAGACCATGATGTGACGTGAAATAAATCAGATAAAAAGCTTAACTATTACATGGTTGCTCTTAGATGAGAATCCCAAATTATATAAAGAGCAAAATAAAAGAGGTGAGAGTAACAAGGAAGTAGCTTTTTTTTTTCCAAAAGGGAAAAGGATGAAGATACAGACAGAGATGAGGGAAGGGAGGAAAGGGATGAAGAACGAATTAAGATGTGTTATGTGCACATACCTATTCCCTATGATGAATGAAATCATTATGTATTACAAATACTTACCAATAAAAATAAAAAAATAAAGTTAACACTAATGGTCCTCTTTTTTTGAAACTAGGGTTCAATATTAAAGGCAAATTTGTACTTTGATTGAGTAGATTGTTAAATAAAAGAAACTATGCTTCAAAATTTTCTTCTTAAGAATATGAAGCTTACCTCTGCAATCAAAGCATAATTGGGAACCATCATTGCAAAAGGTCTGAACAGAGCTTTCAAATTGTCTGGCAATTCGGTTCTGCCTGCATATCCAGGATTCATGGTGATGAAGGCTGCGCAAGTCATAATCAATTTTATTTCCCGCCCCTCGAACATGAATCTAGAGAGCTGTTTAAAGAGAAAGTACAAGTTAATATGTCCCTGGGTGTTTGTAAATTCTTTCACACAATCACTATTTGAATACAAGACTCTCACAAAGGAGTGCTTAAAGAAAGACTACCGAGTCCTGCCAAGGAACAACAGGAAGCACTGCTCTCTGATTCTGTTCTGGACACTTCTGACCCCTTCTGTGTCCACATTTACCGCTCTCTGCCTTCCTTCTCCTGCCTTGCCCCTACCTTTGTCTCCTTTCCTGGCCAGTCCTGAAATCTTCTAGGCCTCATTATCTTTTGCTGGGACTCAATTCAACTTAGACTAATGGCCATGGAACCCTCTCTTGAGGGTTCCCACTTCCTGATATGCCTCAAGAAATTCCAATGTATTTTTTGCTTTGGATGGTTGGGGCCCACTCTCATCACATTTGGTGCTACCCCTTCCCTTTATTCAACACTGAATGCTTGTTGAGCACCTGTTGCAAGAGAGGCCCTGAGCTAGCCCTAGAGGTGCAAAACCACGGGAGTCTCACTCTTGAGCCCTTGAGAGGCTCCTCAGGCTTAATGTGTGCAGTTGGGTCTGTAGATGGTCGCCTTTCAGTACAACAGATATTACAGTGGATGTGTGTGCAGTCAGTGTGCTTGAGACTTGAAGAACAAGGAGGGGCCTTTCAGCTAGATAAACAGGGGCAGCCTTCTCAGGCAAAAGAAGCAGGTACAAGAAAGAGCACTGCTTGTTTAGGGAATGCAATTCTAGATGTAAAGTATATCTTGGTCATAGGCATGAGCCCTAGAGCCTTGGATGCTAAGTTAAGGAATTTCACACTTGACCCATGCTTGGCTGGGATGCAGACTTTTAAGAGAAGTAGTAGGATCAGAGATGGTGGTGGAGAGGTTGGGCCAACTATGGAGAGGGAGACCAGTTAGGAATGGTCACTAGCAAAATGATGCAAGTCAGAATGTGAGAGTTGTTAAGTAAGGGTGAGGGGAACCATCAGATACAAATAGAGGATGCTTTAGATTCTGGTTGATAGCACTCAGACACATCAGGGGTGAGTTTAAGGTTTCCACTTGGGCCATGAGATGATGGATGGTGCCAGGATACAAGAGGAATACCTTGGAAGACCAGGTGGAGCTGGGGCCATGTTTTATGGCCCAGAAGAGGCTGTGCTGCATGTACCCCAGTGGATGATATCCCATGCCAAGTAGCTCATCTGACCCCTGGAGCTTGGGGACAAGGTTAGTTCTTCTCATCATTCCCCCATGTTCCTCTCACCTCTCACAGCTGCCCTCCAGTTGGCAAAGCTTCGGCCCTGCCCCTGTTCTCCTTGCTTCCTGCCCCCTCGCTCTCTATTTTGCTCCCAGTTAATTGTTCAGCAAGAGGATGATGATTTGCAGGTTACATCCGCAGGTCTTTCGCGTTCATGTACACCTCTCCAGAACACAGGTGAGTCAGGAGCGAGGCCGCTGAAGGAGCTAGACTTCAGGGGCGTGTGGATTTAGGTGAGTATCTTGGTTCTGTGGTATCTGCTGAAGTATTTAACTTCTTTGAATCATTTTTACCTATGATCGTTTGAAAGGGCCATCCACTTCACAAAGGTTTATGCAAAGACACAATGATTGCAAAGAAAGTGCCTCTTAGAAGCTTGCTAAAGGCCAATTTCTTCTGTTTATTTGTTCTATCATATGTTTCTTTGCAGAAGAAGCAATCAAAATGCTTTAAAATTCTTTATCAGGGCATCTTTCAGTGAGATTAATTCCTGTTCCCAAGCTGTAGCTGAGTCCCGAGGCCCCTACTGAGCCAAAGTGAATCAGCCAAATGGTGAGTGAGGGACCTCAGGTATGTGTGTGTGGGATGTGAGGCTCAGGTTGCTCTTACTTATAGGCTGGACTTCAATGCTGCCCTTTGATAACCAAGTCTCAGAAGTTCAACACAGAGTAGTTGGGGTCTTGGTCCCATCTTTCATGCCCATAACCATCCCAATACAAACTGTTTTCCACAAATACCCAACAGAGTAAAAAGAAAACCCACAAACTGGAAAAAAAAATTATAGTCAACTGTCCCTCTGGCAAAGGCCTTCTGTCTAGAACATATAAAGAATTAAAAAAAAAATCAGGCCACCCAAATTCAAGGATCCAATGCAAAAATGGACATCTGAGATGAATATATACTTTTCAGATGAAGGAATGCAAATGGCAAGTAAATATGTGAAAAATGTTCAGCATTATTGGTTATTCAAGAAATGCAGATTAAAACACCACTGACATTCCATCTCATCCCAGAAAAAATGGTTAACACCATGAAGTCAGCCAATAACACATGCTGGAGGGGCTGTGGAGTAAAAGAAACCCTTCTCCATTACTGGTGGGAGTGCAGACTGGTACAACTACTATGGAAATAAGTGTGGAGATTCTGTAAAGAGCTAGGACTGGAGATCCCATTCAAGCCAGATATTCCCCTCCTGGATATTTTTCCAGAAGAACTGAAAACAGCATATCACAGTGACATACATGCACCCACATTTATAGCAGTGCAATTTGTCACAGCTAAATCCTGGAAATAATCCAGACCCCCATCAACTGAAGAATGGATAAAGATGTGGTATTTTTACACAATGGAGTATAATTCAGCTATAAAAGAGGATAAATTTGAGGCTTTTGTTGGTAAATGGATGCAACTAGAGAACATACTCTTAAGTGAAATAAATCAGACCCACATGTGCAAACATCGTATTGTCTCCTTAGTTTGAGAACCTGGAAGAGAAAATGAAATCTGAAGGGCACAATAGATACTGTGAAAAGGAAGTGAACTTATTAAAAAGGAAAGAGTTACTGAGTTGATGAAAAGGACAGGAGAGGGAGTGGGGGAAAGATATTTGTCTACGTATGTAAGCAGGATGGTTTGGACAACTGTGCTGTGCATTTCTCCTGGTCTGTGGAGAGGAACAGATAATACTTAATTTGTTTTGTCTCCTTTCTTCAACTGTTAGCACTTTTTTCCTTTAGTTTCTTATAAAATTTTTTCTTTCTTCTTCTAATTTTGCATGAATATATCTGGTAATATGAATAACTGCCTGGAAGACAACACTATGTGTTACAACAAACACTGTGAAACTCATATTACTTTGTGAAATGAAATTCTGTATCATTTATATTTTTTTGTTTTAATATTATTTTGTACTGTCTTTAAAAAAAAACCAAATTGTTCTCTAGCAAAGTACTCATAATATTAAATAACAAGACCACTTCGCTATCTGACTCTGCACTCCTCAGATTTCCCATTCAGGGTGTTCTGGAGAGGTAAGGGGCTCTTGAGTTCCAGAGACCCTCCATGTTCCCTCCAGGGCTGGGCCTGAGGGCTGTAGGAAGGTGGCGGAGGCCAGAAGAGGCAACATTAGAGAAACACAGCAGAAAAGTGATACTGTGGGAAAGAAAACAGGAAGTGGAACATGGAGGGAGAGAGAGGGCTGCGTGTGTGTGTGTGTGTGTGTGTGTGTGTGTGTGTGTGTTCATGCACGCGCGAATGTGTGGTTGGAAGCAAGAGGAAAAGCAGGGCTTCCGGAGGGCAGACACTGAGTCTCATGGAGTCGACAGCCCTGGATTCCCGCGCATAGCTTCTCCGTGTTGCTTTGATGAGGAGCTAGCCCCCCGCCTTAAGTCCTACTGCTGTAGCATTGCTAAATTATACTGAAAACATGCACCAGACAGGTTGAAGACCGTCTTCCCAAAGTGTGGCATGGCTGAAGTCCACTGCTGAGGAAAGCGGCCTGGAGGGCTACGCACGCCTTACCTTTGCAGCTTTGGCGTTCCTAATGGTAACGAGCTGCTGTGCGATGACTGACAGAACTTCAATGTCAATTCGATTAAATTCATCGAAGCAGCACCAGGCCCCTGACTGCGCCAAGCCGCTGAAGAAGCGCCCCATCATCTGAAATCAGAATGACCATTCAGCTTTGCGCTGCATATTTTGATTTCTTCAAAAGTTAAATTTGGAGCTGAACTATTAGAGAGAAAAGAGATAGTACCTGCCAATTACTCCATAACCATCACATAACAGTATTATGTGACTGTTATTTATTATTAATGCAGTTACAGTGAGTATATATCAGAAATAAGCACCTTTCACAAAAGGAAGTGTTTTTGCTGCTCTTTAAGTGATTTGTTATTATTATTTTTATTTTTTTCATTTTATGTACTTGGTACAGGGTCTCACTATGCAGCGCAGACTCATAGTGATCCTCTTGTTTTCAGTCTCCTCAGCACTGGGATTATAGGCATGCGCCACCATGCCCAGACTTGGTCAATAGCTCAGTGCCCTGGGTGTGGGGCCAGCGAGGCATCCGGGACTGGGATCCAATGCTGGTCTCTGCGCTTGCCAAAGCAAGCACTTAATCTGTTGAGCTATCTCACTGGTCCTTCTTTAAATGATTTGAATCTAACTTTATCCTTAAATAAAGTGGCACTCTAATCAATTTTCTTTCTTTTTCATAACCTCTACTGATCTCTGCAAACACTTGGCAAATTCTCAAGGAATCTAATATGCAGAAGACAAATTTAAAGTTTTTAAAAACCTAGAGAATTTCATAAAAGTTTCATTGTCTTCTGAAGGTGTTCTAAGTGGTCGACAGCACATAGAATTTCTGAGCAGAAGGCACTTCCAGGCACGTTAAGGTTGTCATTCTTAATTTGTTCTGCAGTGGAGTCCTACTGGTGGAGAGAAATGAGTATGTAGTTATGGCCATATAATACATACAATGTTAGTGGAGAGCTTAATTTTTGGTTTAGCATTTATGTAAATATGACATTATACTATACATGTCTCAAAACGGAACTAATTTTTTTCTCAAGGAGATCCACTGAGCATATACTACTACTGTTCTTTTTTCCAATTGCCACAAATCACAGAAAGACAGACAGCTGTGTGTGTGTGTGCAAGTCTCCATTTCTATGTCTACACTTACATCTGTGCTTTTTTGATAAAACATAATGAAAGGGAAACCAGCAGCAGTAGTTTTGAAAAAAATTATGGAAAGTACATAGAAGTAAGCTGGGAAGGGAAAATTGCAGCCATCAAGCAGAGGCATAAAGAGAGGGGGCGGTAATGTCTTTCATTTGGGCATGAAGGAACTCTGGACCCAACTTCAGTACACACCAGGAAGGTGTACCTAGGTTCTTGGGAATAAGGCAAAGCTGAGCACTTGGAGAAACTATGTTTGTGAGCGCCTTTTCTCCTTGTCCTTTTGCTACCCAAGCAGAGTGAACAAGACTGTTAAAAATTTCAGTGCTAAGTTTGTCCTATCAAGGACCTTGGTTGTGGATAAAGGGGATGACTGCTTTGGGGAGACACAGGAGACGGTGGGAAGAGACATAAGCTTGGGAGAAAAGAAGGGCAGATGCTAGGAAACAAAGACAATTGTAGATCTCTACTTCAGTCACTGTGATTCAAAAATCACAAAAGGAGGCTCTATCCAGGAGTGAAAGCCATGGCAATGTGCAACTTTAGAAGGAAATCCTTACTGGATGTTTAGTGGCGACTTCCTGGGTGCTCCACGTCCACACATACTCTGTGGAAGTCTGCTGAACACATTCTGCACTGCACTAGAGAGTTCACAATTGTGAACTTGGGGAGGGATACTTGGATGAAACAAGCTGTCTGCACTCACCACCTCAGTCCTCTCCACATACGAGTAAGTGAAGAAGTAAAGATAACAGATACTTGGGAAAAAAATGAATCTCAAGAAAAAGAAAGAACAAATGAAAAGGACAAACAAATAAGCAATCCTGGAGAAAACAGAGATCACTTAGGAAATGGGTTTTTTTTTTTTTTTTTTAAAGAAAAGAAGCACTTTTTTTTTTTTTAGCTTAACGGCAAGTATGTAACCTAGGTCCACCTTCCTGGTGTGTACTGAAGTTCGGTCCGAGTTCCTTCACGCCCAAATGAAAGACATTACCACCCCCTCCCTTTATGCCTCTGCTTGATGGCTGCAATTTTCCCTTCCCAGTTTATTTCTATGTACTTTCCATTTTCTTAGCGCCGGTACCCAGCAGCAAGAAATGGGAAAATTGTTAAAAATTCAAATGAACTTAGAGATTTGAGAGGACACTGTATAATTTTATTCCTATAATAAGTTAAGATAGTGCAAAGAAAGGAATTTGCCAGAGATGAAAAGCAGTCCTTGGAAACTAATGCAATGGCCAAGAAAACGAACGTCAAGCACATGTCCTGAACCATAGAACAGGTGTAGCACTCCTGACCACAGTGCTAAGGAAAGCTTCCATATTTACAGCAATGGTCTTTATCCCTGGGCATGCAACCTTTGGGGTAAACAAAGACTTCCTAAGGAATACTTGTGGATGGGCAACTTTGGAATAAGGAAAAAAGAAAATTCCAGATCTTACTTTTTTAAATGTATTTTTAGTACAAGGTCTACACAGTCTCACTACACAGATTAGACTAGCAGTGAGCCTCCTGTTTTCAGCCTCCCATGTGCTGGGATTACTAGAGCGTACCACCACACTCAGTTTCAGTCCCCATCTCAGTGCGCCCTGGGTGTGGAGACAGCATGACACACCGGGGATCAAACCTTGGTCCCCGCAGCTGCCTAAGCAGGTGCTTTAGTCCACTGAACTATGTAGCCAGCCCTCCCAGATCTTAATTTTTGATGTAGGCTCTTTACTAAAATTTATCTCCCCCGGATCATGCCTGTGGTCACACTGGCTCTTCATTTCCATCTCCCCATCACAAACAACCCTCTCTGCTGCTCCTTGTTATACAGTTTGTGCCCAGCTGAGGAGAAAAGTACATTTGGAATTCAGCTTACACACGGCTGTTTCCACAAAGCTGTGTCACATGCATAGAAGGACGCTAGTACAAGCTAATAGCAACCCTGCTGTCATCGAAACCAAATCATAGTGTGGTACATTCCCCAGGATACAAAAACCTCCAGTCTGCCAAAGGAAGAAGCAGTTCCAAATACTGATCCTGAACAAAATAATGCTTTCAATGACTGACTGGGCAACAAATACTTTTTTCCAACTCAGGTGTTTCTAATACTGCCCTTTCCAAAAACATGGAGAGGGCAATGCATACAAGCTAAGATAGCCAGGAATGTAGCTTCGGTTCAACACAGTTGAGTTTATCACTTGTTCTGACAAAGGAAACCAGCTGCTATGTGGAGCCCTAGGAGCCATAGGTTGCCTCAGTAAAAGAACATTAGATGGTTTTGTTATAAGATTTGGGCTTGCACTGGGTCATTCTGGGGAAGGTTTGGTGAAAAAGGAGTTTTTCATTGTGTGTTAGTTTTCCAGGACTTCTGTAACAAACTGATAGTTTAAAGCTACAGAAATTTGTTCTCCTTCAGTTCTGGAAACTAAAAGCCTGTGATCAGGGTATTGGCAGAGCCATGTTCACTCCAAAGCTCCAGCAGGGGTAGAGGGTGGTGTGGTGTGGATGCTTCCTGCCTCTAGATTCCAGGACTTGCAGCCAACACCTGGCATGTGTTGGCTTCCACTGTGTTACTCTACTCTCTGCCTCTTGGCTATCTTCGCACAGCCTTCTTCCTGTGTGTCTCCATCTGTGCCTTGGTCTTATACTGACACCAATCAATAGATTAGGGTCCATCCCATTCCAGCATGATGTCATTCTAACTAGAGCCCATCTGTAAAGAGTCCACAGCCAAATCAGGCAACGTTCACAAGTTCTAGGTGTCAGGGCTTGAATATCTTTTTGGAGGACACAGATAAACCCACAACACTCTGAATTGGGGGCTGACAGAAAGCAGAGGGAATCCTATGATGCATATCACAGAAATATTTATCCGGGAAGCTGGAGGACAGCCTGCCCGCAGCTGTCTCAAAGGTGCAGCAGTTCCCAGGGTTAGCCAAGAGAAGGGGTGTTCAGTCCTTATGTGGTTTGGATGAAGTTCTTATTTGCGTCCATTCTCAGACATGACTATGGCATGCCTTTTTCTCCCTCCGCAGTGAACATAGAGTGGCCTGCTCTCATGTTGCTGGCCTGTGTCTGTGCTCAACCAGAAAGGCAGCATATCTGACAAGCCCACAGCAACAGCAGTCAGGGCTATGTTGCTGATCATGGTGGGTCGTTGGGTTTCAGAAAGTAATTGTTTGGCAACAGGTTGAACATTAGAAATGATTTTTGGAAGTATTTCTACCATCTTTTAGGATACTTTCTACTTTTAAAAACTGTCATGCTTTGGAAAATTTCAAAGAGGTAAAGGAAGATTTTTGTCTTTCAGCTTAACAATGACCAACAGTCTGCTGTTTTTAAAACCCTCCATCTTATTGTTGGAGTCATTTTTAGTTTTTAAGAGGATCTCGCTGTGCGGTTCAGGCTAGCTTGGAACTCACTATGTAGCTTTGACTGGCCTTGAATTTGAGGAGAATCTCTTGCCTCAGCCTCCTTAGGGCTGGAATTACTATTGGAGTATTTTATTTTTTATTTCTTTTTT